TAAAGACTCTACACATTTTATTTTTCTGATGAAGAATCACCAACAAGGTGGGACACAATTGGTGAAGTGGAAGAATCTATTGGATAGTTTTAAACTTTTTTAGCAATTAAAAACCTGAAAAGTGGCTGCGGCAATCTATTCGGACCCCTTTACGTGTTCAGTGCACAGCAACCTCCACTCCAGAAGTGTCCGCGAGGATCTCCCTGATGCATCCACACTGTTGTCCTAAATGACCTGATGGTGATAAATAAATCGCACCTGTGTTATCAACGTCTCTGTATAAATGCACTGCTCTGTATTCAGTTCCAGGTTCGTTGAAACGCAGAGACGCACTCAACTGAAGACCAGACCACCAGGGCAGTCCGTAATACTGTTGGTGCGCTTTAAAGCCGATTTGATACAACAAGATTTCCAACGCTTTAAACATCCCAAGGAGCACTGTGCAAGCGATTTCGTTCTGGAAATGGAAGGAGTACTCAGCACCACTGCAAAGTCTACCAAGACCTGGCCCGTCCTCTAACACTTTCAGCCTCAGACAAGCAGAAGACTGATTCAAGAGATGAGCGAGGCCCATGATCACTCTGATGACTGCAGAGAACTACAGCTGAGGTGGGCAGTCTGTCCATAGGACAACAATCCATCGTACCACTGCACAAACTGGCGCTTCTTATGAAGAGTGGCAAGAGAAAAGCCTTTCTCCAGCAGGATATCCATACAAAAGTCTCGTCTAAGTTTGCCACAAGCCACCTGGGAGACACAACCACACATTGTGGAAGGAAGGTGCTCTGGTCAGATGAAACAAAATCGAACTTTTTGCCCACAATGCGAAAACGTATGTTTGGAGTAAAGCAACACAAGCTCATCACCCTCAACACACATCCCCACTGTCAAACATGGTGGGGTGGCAGGCCATCATGGTTTGGCCTGCTTTTCTTCAGCAGGACAGGGAAGATGGTTTAGATTGAGGGAAGATGGATGCAGCCAATACAGGACATTCTGGATGAAAACCTGTTTGGAGTTCTGCAAAAGCCTGAATGGGACGAGATTTATCTTCCAAAAGATAACCCAATGATCCAAACATACAGCAAAATCTAAAAGGAAGTGGTTCACAAATAAACGTATCCAGGTGTTAGAATGCCATGTCAAAGCCAGACCTGAAATCCAATCGAGAATCTGTGGAAAGAGCTGAAAAACCCTGCTGTCACAAACGCTCTCCATCCAACCTCCTGAGCTCGAGTTTTGCAAGGAAGAATGGCCAAAAAGAATTTCAGTTCTCGAGTGCAAACTGATCAGAGACTACCCCAAGCGACATTTGCAGCTGTAATCGCAGCAAAAGGTGCGCTCTACACAAGTATTGAAAAACGCAAGGGGCCGAAATAACATTTTGCCACGCCCACTTTTCATTTTTTTATTAGTTAAAAACGTTTAAAAATCCCCAATAGATTTCCGTGTCCACTTCTCACAATTGTGTCACTGTTTGGGTGCTTCTTCACCAAAAAATAAAAATTTTTATCTTTATGTTTGAAGCCTGTAAATGTGGCAAAAGGTTGAAAAGTTCAGGGGGCGCGGCCGAATACTTTCCCGCACAGGCACTGTATAGACCTATAAGTAGGAATCACTCCATTAACTTTGTTATGCAAAGTGTCCCCAATTCATATGTGGAAGCTCAAGCTGGATGAAATGCTATTATATTGATGGAAATTCAATCATTTAGTTAAATTACACTTTGAAGCCTGAAATGTGTCAAAAGGTTGAAAAGTTCAAGGGGGCCGAATACTTTCGCAAGGCACTGTAGTTGATTAAAGCCCCTGGATTGACAGTGATTTTTATTTAGAAAAGATTTATTGGGGGGACAACATTATGTTTTTCAGAAGTTGGAAGGGACTCGTCTCTTCTGCCCCCTTTTCAATTGACCCATTCTGTAGTTTACGTATGAGGACATGTTGGCCTAAAAGGTAGATTGTATACTACTGTACATTATATTTACATCCTGTAGATTACATGTTCATAAAATCCCTCCAATTTCCCCCTCTCTGTCTATCTCTGTAGGTGCTACTAAACAGTCCCAAACTAATTGAAGAGGAGAAAGCCAAAATGGCAACCAAGGAAAAAGCTTTGAAAGAAAAAGAAGGAAAGAAGGCATCAAATAAAACTAACAACACAGTGAATGGGACTGGTGGAACACCCATACATGTCAACACTCTACAGGTAAACACAACTTGGCCAAATGGACTAGCATTTCTGTTGCTTACTTTAAATGTAATAAGCATGATACGTATCCTTGAAGAATGGATCATATTATCAGAGTAAATTATATGTAATATAAAAAAAAACTAATAAGCTCATTTTGGTTCATCTGAAGCTTATGAGAAACAAGAGTACTACAGGAAGAATAGCAATGAACTAGTGCCATAGCAAGTATTGTTAATGATCAGAATCAGAATTGAGTGCTAAGGCTTTCCAATTTAACGTAGCCTAATTTAGCAGGGCATATTTACTTCTTTTTAAACTTAAAAAGGCAAAATGTATTATTGTAATTGCAAAATTGCAATTGGCAGTAATGTGCAGGCTGATTTTGTTATGTTAAACAGAGAAAGCAGAATACAAACTCGGTAACGATTTCCAGAGACAGGCTTTATTGAGAACCAGGGAATGAAATGATGATGTGAAGCGCCTGCTGGCAGTGGTGAGAGGATATGGCTGAGACCCAGGCAGAGTGGAACTGAAGATGGAGGTAATGTGGCAGATAGAAAGGAGCAGGCAGGTAGCTGAAGTGAAGGTGATGATCCTGAGGCACGGGAAAAAACAAGGGTAAAGTTCACAGCACGAACGGGGGAAAACTTCTCTTAACGCTCTCTAACTTGCCAAGAAAGTTACTACCAGGCTTGTAGAGACAACGATCTGGCAGAGAGTGGATGGAGAACCAGGGTTTATGTATATACTGCAGGGCTGATGAGTTGATTACTGGCAGGTTTGGGCACTCAGACAGGTAAGCAGGTAATCAGGGAGAGTGGGAGAAGTCCAAACACACACACACACACACATAGAGGCAGGGAAACCAGGCAGGAGAAAACTCTAGCAACTACGGACTATAACAGATTCTCAAATTGTCTTCTTAAGCTTTATCTTTATATGTTGTTAGAAATGCTGCATTGCCCTCATAAACAAAGTATAGTAAGTATAATAAGTAAAATGCCATGCCAAGACTTTATTGAGTCAGTCTCTGTTTTTTACCAGGTGGTAGAAACTCGCTGTAAGAAAGTTTGCACCTCCAAGTCAGACCTTCGCTCCAATGACTTCAGCATCGTGGGATCTTTACCTCGAGACTTTGAACTTTCCAATTTTGACTGTTATGGTAAACCAGTTGAAGTGACAGGGGCCCTCAAGTCCCAGAACAAAGCCAACAAGAAACCCCCACCACCCAAACCTGTCATACCCGCTGCTGCCAAACGCATTGACCTCTATGCAAGAGCCCTCTTTCCCTTCTCCTTCCTCTTCTTCAATGTCGTCTACTGGTCTGTCTATCTGTGAGAGGGAGAGGAAGATACTAGGGTGGAAATTAAGTGGTTTGTATCCTGTTGTTGACAAATGTAGTATATAATGAACTGCTGGTGGCTATACTGGTAAAATCAAGATTTCCAACATTTCAGAGCCATGTTTGCAGAGCTGCAGAGACTGCTGTGGTCCCCTGGAGAAACTACACAACCTTGGAGATGTTGGCTGAGCCAGTAGGCACTGCATGTGTGTCTCTGTCTGATACAGGACATTGTGCTTAGAGTAAACTAATCCTCGCTGTGGTTACCCTACGCAATACCCTAATGCTTTTTACTAGGATTGCTGGTAACACTTCAAAATGGCCAACATTAACTGAATAAGACATAAAAAAGAAAATACAAGAATATATACAGAATAAATGTATTGTAAAAGAAAAAATAATTCAAGAAGTCATTAAATATAACTATTCATTTTTATTGTATAACAGTCCTCATTTTGAAAGATTATCAGTGCCATTATGACTATATATATATTTATATATAAGAATCCTTTACTTACAAGATATCTCATTATTAGTTGTATGAGTTAGCTTTGGAAGCTTTTTAGATTTATGAGAATGTGACCAAACTGTTCAGATGTCATTTACACCTAGCTGATCTGATCAACAGTAGAATTATCAGATGACACTCTGATCTGATTCTGTTTGCATGTGTTTTCCTGATCAAGATAAACCAGTTAGAGGTCACATGTCAGTACCAAAGGCAAATAGGGTCTGATACCAATAGAGTAGTGTACTAATCTATGTAAACCTAAGTCCCAGAGTGATTTAAGATGGTGTTCCATTTAGTTCCATTTCAGAGCCTGAACCACACGAAGAGTAAATTACTCTCAAGCTTCTAGATTCAAAAGTGGTTCTAAATGTTCTCATTGGAAGGCCAGCTCTCATAAACAGGGGCTAGATGCAATGAATCATATAAATGTGGATAACAATGCATGCTTTCAAACAGCCTCTCCTTAACGGTATTCATGCTGTTGGTTGTTCACATGAAAAGTGTAAAGACTGAAACGAGAGCTTGAGAGAAGTTAAAATCCTGCTTACTTTCACACCTCCATACACTTGGTTAATTACTAGTGGGCATGATCATTGGTCTTCAAAAATTTTGGTCACTATTGAACTGTGCAGAACTGTTGGGTGCTTTCACACCTACCCAGTTTGGTTTGGTTCAAACTCTGGTGTGTTTCAGTTCTTTTAGATTGCTGTGAAAGGACATGATTTTTTTGTGAAGTGATTTTAGTATGAATTCGTATGTTAAACTAAAGGTCCAGTATGTAGGATTTATTATCTAGCAGTAAAATTGCAGATTTCAACCAACTGAATACCACTCACCTTACCCTCCCATTCTAAGCGTATAGGTTAAACTACAGTGGTGGCGAAATATTCCATTTCTGCCAATAGATCCTTCTAAATATTACACATTGGAAATCCATGCAGCCCATCTACTGACCATAGGAACTGTCAACAAATCAATATGTATAGAGTTTTAAGATTATATGATAACCATGGTACCACAAATGCACATCATTATGAATACATTTATTTATATATATATATATATATATATATATATATATATATACACACATAGATTTATATATATTTATATTTAACATTAGATTTATTTTTATTTTATTTTAAAAAAAATCAAGTTTTTTACGGTAACAGACATTCGGTCATGCCGCACTTTAATAATTATTTCATATATCGTCCCATACCTAAAATGGGTAGAAATATATGAACTATGAACAGAGCAGGTCACAAACTCCATTTTACTATCCCTGCATCCCAAGACATGCAGTACATCAACATACAAGATGATCATTTATAAATATATAAATTGCTCAGCAGATTGCTGTCTTGACAGTTCATGATCAGATGATGGTTTAATAGTAGTTTAACTCCGGTTTTACACGCTTTTTAAGTTTTTAGTCTGACCATTTAACTGCAGATTACCATAAATAAAATATGATAACATGCTTTTCTGGCTCTTGCACCAATTAATCTATGTTCTTGGATCGCATGCTGTTCACTAGTTCATAAAATTTTACATACATGGGTTTTTATACCATACCTCCTCAGAATCATCTTTATTGCCAAGTGGGTTTTCACATACAAGGAATCTTACCATAAAGTGTTACAATGGTCAGTCAGTTCAGTCAATTAGCCATTAGACCCTGTCATATTTTAAGAGGTTAGTACAGGAACATCCCCTGATGTCTGAGTCTAGATTGTGGTGGTGGTGAAGGGGTGGAGGATCTGGATGGATGAGATGTGGAGCAGGACTTCTGATGGGCTCAGTGGAAGGACCACTTGGAGGTTTGATTTGACACTGAAATGACAGCATAAAAGAAAGGAACAGTTTTTAAACTTTGACAGCAATGAGATGATTGGCTCACAGAGGTTGTTGGAAAACCTGACTGGTGAAAGAGTGAACGCCCTCAGTTAGCTGATTGAGTTGGCGAGAGAGGGAGATAAACAATAAATAGCTTAAACATTAAGATAGTCTTCCTGATTGAATTTGTGCTCGGCTTCATTAGAACATTCCACTATATAGAGATCATTAGATCCCTATATTCTAGAATGGTAGCTAACTGCTAGAGCACTTCTGGTGTTATATTACACTGAGGTTTTAAGTACCAGTTAAGCTTGGCATTCAGCTGCTGCACTATGTATGATATGCCCTTTCTTAAAATATATTGCTATATTATGAAAAAAACAGTCTTCAGACAAGTAAACACAGCACTGCTAAGTATTTGAAATAATTTTTTTTTTAGGAAAGTTCAATACAAGTTCTTTTACCCAGGACCAGATGTGTTATATGTTTTGATCAATTGATCAAAGAGGAAAGAGGACAAAAAATAACTGAAGAGAAGAACCTCTTTGTAATTTTTTTTTTGTTTTTGTGTGAGGCACATGTAACATGGATTTTCAAAGTGCTATACGCTATAAATAAAGACTATATTATTCATCCTTATTTACTTCGAGCACCTGACTGTATCAAAGAGAAATATGTTCTTCCACTGTCAGAGAGTGACATCGACTCTTATTACCTTTATGATCTTTAAAGTTATGGGAAATTGCATTATTTATGAATGCATCTATATGTTTACACTTGATTTACATTGTGTTTCTCCACACATAATTTTAAATGCCAAAAATGCAGATAAGAAGACAAGCATGGGTTCTTGCCACTGAAATTAAGGTGAGACAATTACAATGACACGAATGCAGTGGCAGTCAGGTCCCATATGTCAAAGCTTTCAAAAGAATATACCTAGAAGTGAGCACTTAATGGCTGTGTGAAGAATAATGATGGGAATTGGAGGTTCATGAAGCACTATTGGTATATTAGATTAAAAAATGAGTACTTGCATTTATATATTCTAAAATGAAAAAGCAAAAACAATGAACCAATACATACAGGAAATTTAGACTTACCTTTACCTGTGTCCTGGTCTTGCTTTTCTAACTTGTGCATAGCGAGTATAAATGAAAGTGTTTAAAAATTAAAGCAACATTATGTAACTTTTCTACCTTAAAATAACAGCTTCACTACCATTTTGATGTTTCACTGAGTTGTAATAAGGTGAATAGTGCCTCTGTCATTCCCACTCTGTGCCCAGTACAACATATAATATATTAAGAACATATATATAAATATATATATATATACATATATAACAGGTAAAATGTACAGTTTGAAATGTGCAAAAATGATTGTCCGTGTTTGAGGTCAGATTACAGAGAAGGGTTTGGCCCTTTTTGTAGACCGCCTCGGTGTTTCTGGTCCAGTCCAACTTGTTATTAAAGTACACCCCCAGGTAC